TCATGCTTGCCATAAAAGGTGACTATGCTTGTCGTAAGAGGCGACTAATGGGTTGGGGTGGTCAGACACACTGACTTGGTTGATGCATGCAGTCATATCCCAATTGCGTGGATCGATGTTCATGATGTCAATCACTGGATTGTCTTGTCCAGACTTCTTTATTTACAGTCATCCGTCATATCGCTGGAATGTTGCTGAGTTCCGTTAATCATCTAACAGACAATAATACTGTGTTATTGTAAGAGGAGATATTACAAAATTATTTTCGCTGCTAAACGACTTTGAAACATCAGCTCAAAGCAAGTGTTGGTTGGTTGGTTTGTTGTTTTATGCAGCACTCAGCAATATTCCAGCTATATGAAGGCAGCCTGTAAAAAATGGAGTCTGGATAAGACAATCCAATGATTGATATCATGAGAATCGATCCACGCAATGGGGATCGATGACATGCATCAACCAAGTCAGCGAGCCTGCCCTGCATCCCGTTAGTCGCCTTTTACGACAAGCATTGTCGCCTTTCACGGCAAGCATGGGTTGCTGAAGACCTATTCTTCCAAGGATCTTCATTGGTCTTGAAGCAGGTCTTCACACTATCATATTGCCAACATTCAGTCTTTGCAATATGTGAGTGAGTTTGGTTTTACGCTGCCTTTAGCAATATTTCAGCAACATCATGGCAGGGGATACGAGAAATAGGCTTCACACATCATACCCATTTTGTGAATCAAACCCAGGTCTTCAGTGTGAGGAGCAAACGCTTTAACAACTAGGCTACCTCACCGTCCCTTTTCAGTATGAAAAGCTGAACAAATTACATGATATAAGGACACTTATGATTTTGATTTTATGATTATCATGATTATTGGCCCTGATAAATGTTGACTGTCATTTGTCTTGTGGGCTAGTCTATTTGTAGAACTTTATTTTTGCATATTACAGTGTGGGAAAACTAAGGTGTGTGGTGCTTAAGTTGTGTTAAAATCAACAGAGTGAACAAATTAGTAGAACAATTTTCATTTTACTTTAAGCTTAAACCTATTGATGGCCCCAATGTAAAATTCAAATATACTACTCAAAAGAAGTAAAAGAACACATGATTATTTCTTTTAAATATAGTCAATCTATCATGCCATAACTGATTAACTATAGTCATATTAAAAACATTGGGTGTTCTTTAACTGCTTTTGAGTTGTATATATTTGCTGTTTGTAATATCTTGGAAAAATGAGGAATTCTTTTAGCTAAGTTGTATTCGAACAAACTGGAAACAAAATATTTTTTCTTAGCCTAAAATTGAGCACTATGTAGAAGATGTCCATACCAATTGACCTAATTATGGCTTTATCTCAATGAGGTTAGGTGATACCTTCTCATTAGGAAATCAAGCCTCATTAATCAATCTAGATGGAAAACCCTTGTTAATTAGACTCTACCATGAATAGCATTGCACCTTTCAGCAATAAGTATCCGCAGATGGTTACCTCGCTCTGTGTAATTAACCCCAAAACTGGGATATCCGAATTATTTATGATGGCTAACAAGTTTGGTGCTTTTGTTCTTCCCTTCATTCAAAATGAAGAACGGGTCTAGACACCATGGACACCAGTTATGTAGTGTAGACTCTTCTTAAATCCATTATTAATCTTCTTGGATTGTTTCTTTATGACATCACATGAACCTGCACACTGACAACATAATCTGGGGTTTTCTTTTTTATATCAAAATGTAATGGCCATCGAGTTATTGTGTTGTATGTCAGTTGTGAGACTTCCATTTTGTGGAAGCCTTGGTGGCTGAGTGGGTTAGATCGCTGACTTGATTAGTTGCGGTCGGGTAGCCTAGTGGTTAAAGCGTTCGCTCGTCACGCCAAAGACCCGGGTTCGATTCCCGACATGGGTACAATGTGTGAAGCCCATTTCTGGTGTCCCCCGCCGTGATATTGCTGGAATATTGCTAAAAGCGGCGTAAAACCATACTCAGTCACTCACTCACTCACTCACTCACTCACTCAGTGTTGGTTCGAATCCTGGTTCGAAAAGTCAAGGATCTGTAAGTATTATCCCAATATAACATTTGTTGCACAATCAGGAAGTAAATGCTTGCGAAGACTGATAAATGTCCAACTAGATGACCTTGTTCATGGTAATAACATGATTCGATATCAGTTGTCTAAATTAGGGGAGTGTGTGTCTGCTTGTTCTAGTCTAGACCATTGCTTTTTTTATCCCCCCTGCATATAATGCGGGGAGATATAGCTATTGGCATGTCTGTCCGTCTGTCCGAATGTGCATTTATATCACTTAAGGGGTGAAGTTGTGCCTAATGCCTAATGCTATTTTGGAATTTTTCCAATTTTTTTAATTTTCATGAAAGCATGCTGGACATAGGCTCACTATGTAGGTGATGTTAGTTTCCGAAGCAGAACTCAAAAACTGTTGAATATTTCTCCATGTTACTTTTCATAGGTTTAAACTACATACTGAACTGGTGCCTTTTGCTATTTAGGAATTTTGTAAATTTTTATTTTTTACGTTTCCATGGCAACAAGTTGGACTTAGGTTCTATAAGGGTGGTATTCGTTTCCGGAACGTAACTCAAAACTGTTAAATACTTTCTTACAAAACTTTGCATGTCTACCAGGCACATACTGAGCTGGTGCCTTTTGCTACTTAGGAATCTTAATTTTTTTAATTTTTTATGTTTCCATGGCAACAAGTTGGGCTTGGGTGCTATAGGGTAGAATTCGTTTCCGGAGCATAACTCAGAACCCATTCAAAACTTTCTAACAAAACTTTGCATGTCTATCAGACTCATGCTGAACTGGTTCCTTTTGCTATTTAGGAATTTTATAAATTTTTATTTTTTATGTTTCCATGGCAACAAGTTGGATTTAAGTTTTAATATAGGGTGGGTTCACTTATGGAGTATAACAAATAAACTGTTAAATATTTCCTTGCCAAACATTGCATGTCTATATATAAAGCACATACTCAACTGGTGCCATTTGAATTTTAGAAATGTTTAATATAAAATTTCCATTGCAGCTATTTTGATATGGGCTTTTTGACAATGGAGTTCTAGATAATGTTTGCCATTAAACAATATATATGTGACCACGGGTCCAGGTAGTCTTGTGAGTACCCGGGTCCTACTCAGTACCCACCTGAGTACCTGAGTTATCCATCCCAGCTCTGCATCATATAATACATAATGATTACAATTAGTTGGATAATTCAGATATCACAACCAGAGCTCCAGATAAGCTTTTGGTGTTGTGGGTATTTTACCCATGCATTTTAAAATCATTGGGTATCAGTAATTCTATCTGCGTATTCAAATTTCTGTTACCCACTAGTTTTTACACATGTGGGTATTTAAGTTAAATATTTAAAAACACTATTCATCTAGTCCCTGCAAACTAGTGTCGTGTGGGTTCGAGAGCTTTATAGGACTCAAAAATACCACGATACTTCCACACGAAGGTGTGATGGCAAATGATCGTGATGTAACTGTCATCGTGGAGTTTGGCAAGGTTAATGGAATGCCCGTTTATAATTTCAAAATAAGTTGCTGATTTGCTTATCGAATACGCAGGGTTACTTCACAATAATTTGATGATACCCACAAATTTTATTTTTGTAGCGTATCTGTAATGTTCGTTGCGTATTTGATACGCTTGGATTATATTTTACTGCGTATTTCTGCATTTCTGATGCGTATTTCACGCAGATACGCAGCTTATCTGGAGCTCTGCACAACTGATACTGTGGTCAACTTCAGTGACAGGTGACGCGACAGCACAGTGTTCCCGCTGGCTTTTGAAACTGCCAGTCCCAGTGTACGTGCAACTGTAAAAATTATCAGTCCCACCCAATTTCTGTCAGTCCCAACTTTGAACAAATATAAATTGTATGAAAATTGCTTACAAATTCATTGACATCATTTCTGAACTAACTTATTTATATTCTGGACATTATTAACACGGAGATCAATCACAATTTTCTCTTTTTTCCTGAATTTCGGTATTTCACTTTGGTTCAAGGTTAAGTCTCTACAAATAGATATTTAACCTTGAAACAAAGTGACATATTATTTCCTTGAAATAACAGACAATGGGAAACCCTGATGATAACAGACAAGCTGACCATGCTGACTTTGTTCGAAAAATATTGTTTATTGACTATGGTTGATGTTTTGTTCAACAACAAAGAAATCTAAGGTACTTTATTTGCCAGTCCACAGGGACTCGCAGTCACAAGAATTACCGGTCCAAGCTTAATTTTACCGGTAAAAAACTGGTAATTACCGGTAAACGGGAACACTGCATCACAGTGCATAATCCTGAAGTGCGCACAGATTGATGACATCACTGATCAGGCCCAAGAAAGCTTGACAAATTACACAATCATGACACAGGGATCAGTGAGGTTGGATGGTAATTCAAGCTTCGAGGTTTGGAGTGTGTTCAAAGATAGATGTTGTGTGGACACAAATCTGGACATGTGACATGCAATTGGTGCATGCAGACATAAATATCAGGTTACTTTTTTCAATGATAATTTACACTGGTGCATGTTATATGTATCTAGATCGAGCCCTGGACACATTTTACTGGCTCTAAGCTGACCAGTTCTTGGTTTATCCCCTTTAGCCGAACGCCAGGCAGGGCAACAACAAGAAAGACTTGTAACGTCTTTTGGTATGACGCGACCAGGGAGCGAACCACTGACCTTCTGCTCACCAGGCCGACGCTGTATCCACTAGACTAGGCCACACAAGTGGTTGTTTTCTATGTTTTCTAAAAGAGTGATGACTGAACCTTGGCATGTTCGGAATGCATCTACTGCACTAAGCCTTCCATTGAACCGAGACATCAGCCCATGTTATTGGTGATTGTAGCACATGCTTGAATGACAGCATGATCTGATGGAGAAAGTGTTTGGCTGATGTGAGTCACCACTGCTCAATGTATGTGTGGAGCGAGAACCTCTTTCTGTAACCGGTCGGGATGTAGGTAGTGGCGCAGAACAAATTATATGTTGATGCTTTGAGGTCACAACAAATCAATCTCCAATATTTGGGTCGTGGAGGTGTGACATTGTTTTGGAAACCCACCTCAAGACAGCCTTGTTACAACTGGGTCACAATGTAAGATTTGCATTATTTTTTTCAACAGTTCAACAGATATGTGCAAAGAAAATAATTATATCCGCAAGTGATTCTGAAAGAGATTATATTCTTTTTCATTCTAAACACAGCTCTAGTCCATGAGCACCATTTTGTGGTCAACTTGACATAAATTTTGATGTTATTGCTGTTAAGGTTCATGAGTTTTGCTTTAGACATTTGTGCACCATGAATGATAGTAGGCATCGCGGTTATAACAATGTGGACATATATTAATAGTCATACATTGCTATCAACTCAGTTATCCATTTGCCAGTGTGGTAGTACCGTATTTGACGTTATAATCGCCCAGGGCGCTCGGAATATTAGAAATAGGGGCCTCTTTTTAGAATAATATTTTGGTGAAAGATAAATTTTGTAAATTTTGTGGTTTATGCTGACAGCCTGAAATGTTTATATACAACGAATATATTTTTCCAGGATTTCATTGCCCATAATTAAGAGTGTATATAACACACGAGTGTGTATTACACACAAATAAATAAGTGTTGTGTTCAGTGATCAATTGGAAGGGGTGCCAGTTGAGTTTGTTCACGAGCAAATATTTTAGCAAATATTGCCATGGGCGCTTATTACGTCGAATACTGTATAATGAGGCATAGGCTTATCACGTCTAAGGTCATGAAGCAGTGTAAGATCATTCACTCGTGAACGAACGAACAATGTACATGACAGTCTATATTTCTTGTGTATATTACAGATATTTTACAGAAAGTGCTGCAGCATAGCAGAGCTCCAGATAAGCTTTTGATGTTGTGGGTATTTTACCCATGCATTTTGAAATCATTGGGTATCAGTAATCCTATCTGGGTATTCAAATTTCTGTTACCCACTAGTTTTTACACATGTGGGTATTTAAGTTTAATATTTAAAAACACTATTCATCTAGTCCCTGCAAACTGGTGTCGTGTAGGTTCAAGAGCTTTATAGGACTCAAAAATACCATGATACTTCCATAAGAAAGTGTGATGGCAAATGATCAGGATGTAACTGTCATCATGGAGTTTGGCAAGGTTGACAGAATGCCCGTTTATGATTTCAAAATAAGTTGCTGTTTTGCAAATTGAATACGCAGGGTTACTTCACAATATTTTGATGATATGCACAAGTTTTATATTTGTAGCGTATCTGTAATGTTCGTTGCATATTTGATACGCTTGGATTTTATTTTACTGCATATTTCTGCATTTCTGATGCGTATTTTACGCAGCTACGCAGCTTATCTGGAGCTCTGAGCATAGGCATGGTAGAAGGGGTATAATATTGCCTGGTTACGATTTTGAAAATGTGTTATGTTTCTCAGACATTTGGACTTAGTCTGTTCTTTACCACCTGACCTCTGACAACAAATGTAACTTGTGAAATGTTTTTATAAGGTTTAATTATGGCCAAAAATTTATGGATACATTATGGTCAAAATGTTCATCAAGAACTGTACTTGTCAGAGCATTGGAACATTGTGAGTTTGACATGGCTAGACAATTAGTGGCACATACAAAATATCCTGCCACAACTCCACTCTACTTCTGTACATTCCTCCGCCTACTGTGGAAACAAATTGAAACCACTGACTTGTTATTTCAAGGTGAGGATATTTGGAGTTTAATGTCACACTTGTATTGACCTACGTGATGGTGAAGTAGGAACTATACATGTAAAGCCAGACTTTTTATTTATCCGGAGATTCCAAAAATTTGAAATGTGAAAAAAATGAAAAGCAGTGTTTTATTGATTCCTCTGACTAGAAATTTGTAAAATGTTAAAAAACAACAACTCCTTTTCTATCACTATCTATATGAATAAGTTATTTAAAATTCTCTAATTAAGACATGCTGAACATGTTGAAAATTTATCTTAAAAACTTCAAAACTCAACAAATTATTATGAATCATTACAGATTGGAAAGTATAGAGTCAAGAACCTAATATTGCATTCAACATCCAGTCTTGCTATTTGTTGGTGTGTCTTTCCCTATTCCCCCAGCTCCCATTTTTTCTTGTTTTCCCTACCTACTTAACATTTGGAGGACATAGAAGAAACATTATTTGAAATTGTAAGTTCTATTTATATTTTTTTCAACCTACTGACCTGAATGCTTGGGCCAAAAATCCATAATCCCCCTAAAAGAAAATCTGGCCTTCGGCTAGCTGGTTGGTTAACAGTAACTAGAACTTCAATCAGGAATGGACCCATGGTAGAATAGGTCTTCAGCAACCCATGCTTGTAGTAAAACTATGTTTGTCGTAAGAGGCAACTAACCGGATTGGATTGTCAGGCTCGCTGACATGGTTGATGCATGCCATTGATCCCAATTGTGTGGATCGATGCTCATGATGTTGATCACTGGATTGTCTGGTCCAGATTTGATTATTTACAGACCGCTGGGATATTGGTCCAGTGGATATTTCTAATTTTTAATAGTGTAAATAGTTAGTTAACTTAGTTTGTATGTTGTCATTATTTTGGTACTTTTAGGTACTTTGAGATCATTTTTACTTGCCGGAAACTTTACATAACCATGATGACAGTCAGTATTTTCTTGTGTACATTACATTTTTTTTTCAGAATATACAGCTGTGTAGAACGCTTATATATTTGTCTGGTGACAACTATTTACTATTTCCTCCCAAAAAATTCAGTTTCGACGATGTTCAAAACTAGTCTATTCTCTAAATTTTACTTGTGTATGGTCTCCCGTGAAGATCCAGGTAAAGAATAGGTCTCCAACAACCCATACTTGTCGTAAGAAGCAACTAACAGGATCAGGTGGTCAGGCTTGCTGACTTGGTTGATGCATGTCATCGTATCCCAATTGCATTGATCAATGCTCATGATGTCAATCACTGGATTGTCTGGTGCCGACTCGATTATTTACAGACTGCCATCATATAGCTGGAATATTGCTGAGTGAGGCTTTAAACAACAAACAAACAAACTTGTGTGTGGTAGCTGACCTCACTGTAAATAGATCCCCAGCACCACCTGCTTCGTTGTTGTTTTACGTTGCAGTCAGAGTTATTACAGCTACATCACAATGGCAAGTCCCAGCAAGGCAAACTGGTGGTTGATAGCATGCGCATGCCATCAGGGTACGATGACACACAATCAGCCTCAATCGACACTCTAGTAAGCCCCTAGGTCTTTGAGAAGTATTGAGTGCATGGGACCTTTTCTTTCTTGTAACCCCATTTTGGAGACAAGCGTGATGTAGTTAGCATCTATTTGTCCCTGTAATCTCCACTGGGGTTAATTTTTGAGAATTCTTGCGTGTCGTACTGTGTCTAACGTGTCGAATTCCAGCACTGGTAAAACCCCTGAGAACTTTGAGTATATATGGTAGGGCATGTAATTTTGTGAAACCAATTATTTACAGTGGAATGGTCCAGTATTTGCAGACACTGTCATGAAGGCTTTTCATTTGACTCAGCAGCTAATTAATTACTAACTTAATTACTGGGCCTGGCGGGATGACCTTTAGCCTGTATCCTGTACTTCCATTTGGAGAGATGCTGAATTGACAGTATATGGTACATGTAGTAGGGGTGTTACGATAAATCGAAATATCAATATACTGCTATTGGTTAGCACTTAAAGTCAATAAATTGATTGTTTAAACAGTTTCCGATCAATAGTATCGATTTCAGTTAGGAATATCGATAGTTTCAATTATATTTACCATGTCATGCGATTGAGTCACCGAAACTTGCCTGCAGTAACAAAAGTAATGTGGAAGTTTGTTTTTCTTAAATTATTTGGGTAACAAAAAAACAAATCAGTCATATCTCAAACTTTACTTTATATTTGTTGTTATGGTTATCACATTCAAAGGAAACTTCAGTTCCAAGGTTTAATTCAACTCTAAAATCCATCTAAAATGATACACTGAAAACTATCGATATTTATCTCAATAGTTGCTTGCAATTTCAATAGTTATCGCAATAGTTTCTTTCAATATCCGTAGTTATCGCAACAGTGATTTCCAGACCAATAGTTTCTCACTCACCCATGTAATAATATAAGGATAACGCTATTTTGCAGGGCATTATCAAGTTACAGTGGTCCGCTCATATAAGGATAACGCTATTTTGCAGGGCATTATCAAGTTACAGTGGTCCGCTCATATAAGGATAACGCTATTTTGCAGGGCATTATCAAGTTACAGTGGTCCACTCATATAAGGATAACGCTATTTTGCAGGGCATTATCAAGTTACAGTGGTCCGCTCATATAAGGATAACGCTGTTTTGCAGGGCATTATCAAGTTACAGTGGTCCGCTCATGTAAGGATAACGCTATTTTGCAGGGCATTATCAAGTTACAGTGGTCCGCTCATATAAGGATAACGCTATTTTGCAGGGCATTATCATTTGCAGAAGCCCGAGGTTTTCCATTAACTGCCCGACGAAGGAGGGCAGTTGAAAAGACCGAGGGCTTCTGCATATGATAATGCCCTGAAAAATAGCGTTATCGTTATTATAGCTAAAATGGATGGAATTTGTTATCAAATAAAAAGAAACAACAACATCGGTTTTTAAAAATTTTGCAATCAACACGAATGTCACTGACCCCATTTTACAAACATGGAAACGTCATAGAACAAACCAGATGACGTCACTATTATACGTGACGTCACTTTCTCTACCTTATGACGTCACCTCACAACGGGCTTGATAATGGCCAGTCGTCAAGCAATATGAGGGCATTATCAAGTTACAGTGGCCCGCTCATTTCTGATAACGTGCGGGCGGTTTAATGATAATTCTATCCATTTTAGCTATAAGACTTGTTACACAGGAATTACAACAGAATGTGTCATATTTTCTTTGGTAGAAATACATGAAATAGAGACCATGACAAGGAGAAATGAGTGCAAATCATTTTCCTTAGTAGGACTGAAACCATTGTGAATACAGAGCAAACAACAACCCAAAAACAAGCAGTAGTCATTCAGGCTTTCCGGG